GGAGAATTCTTCGCGGACCGTCACATCCAACGGAAGACGGAGGAACAGGTCAAAAAGCTGAGGCAGACTCGTTCAGTGGCTGAATATGCAGTGGACTTCCAGACCTGCATGTTGCACCTCGACTGGTCAGTTCAGGGGCAGCTGCTTGCGTTCTACGATGGCCTCAAGGACCACGTCAAGGATGAGCTTTGCAAAACGCCCCGCCCAGAGACACTGAGGGAGTACATCGACACGGCAATCAACATTGACGACAGGTGGTTCTAGCGCGAGAATGAAAAGCGCAGAGAGAAAAAGGAGGGATGTTCGACAAGAGGCTATTACGGCAGTCAGGGCAACAAAGCCAATGACAAGAAAAAGAGGCACACTCCAAGCACCTCGTACGGCACTCACCTAGGACCGATGGATGAGAGCGTCGGCGCAATCTCTCAGGCACAGCCCAGGAACCAGGACCAGGGACAGCGCCCACCACGCGACAAGAAGAACGACACTTGCAACAACTGTGGCAAAACAGGCCACTGGGCTAGAGATTGCCGACAACCCAAGAAACAGGGACAAGGAAGACCTCCGAACGACAGGAGGGCACGCTTCAACGATTCCCAGGCCATTGGAATGGTACTGGAAGACATCGACGATTCTCAGACCATTGGAATGGTGCTGGAAGATATCGACGAGGAAGAGAGTCTACCGGACTACGGAACCGCGGCACTTGCCCACGAACTCGCGGAAGCCTGGGGACCGGAAGTCCCGCAGGTCCCGGAGTCGCCTGAAGGAAGGAGCGACCGCGGAACCGGACCGGAAGACGAACCGAAAAACGAAGAGAACCCTGACCATTGGCCCTTCAGCTCAGCCGCAGAAAAAAGACTAGCCGGTCAAGCGGCCACTCGGCAAGAGATCAAGAACATCAGGCACTTCCTCGGGAAACTGAAGGAGAGACAAGACCATATGGTTGCGCTGATCGACAGCGGCACGCAGTCGCCGCAAGGACGACAGCTCGCCCTTGATGAGCTAGCTAGAGTCACCCTTCAGAAGGCCGAGCTCTTGGAGCAGCTCAATATAGAGACTGAAGAGTTTGAGGACGAGCCAGCACCACCTGAAAGCTGGATCAACCCAGAAGAGCGGGAAGAGATCTGGTGTACCCAGAGGACCCTCGAGGATACCAGGATCGGAGAAGCATTCCTAGACCTCGCTGAAATCGAGGAAGCCGAAGAAGACGAAGAACCCGGAGACGCACACCAGCCACACCCCACGCATCCTGAGCACCAGGAAGTGGACTGGGCGAGTTGCGTCCACGATACTTGCCGGATACATCTTTCGCCAAAATGGCTCTACAACCACTTCCCGGCCAGAAAGTCAGGACAGGCAATTCCCAGGGTATATCGACATATACCTACCTGGCATACACGGGTCGGTATGGCTACGGAAGACCATCAGGGGGAGGCGGAGATCGTGATCGAACTCCTCTCGCCTAAACCTTGCCGAGAAGGCAAAACCGACTGGAGGACTTGTCGACAGACAGGCTGCCGAGTCCACCAGAAGCAGAAGCTTGAGGACTGGCACAGAAAAAGGACCCAGCACCTCACCCACTCCAGAAACAGGAGGTTCAACAGGGCGCACCGTTCGTGGCCTTCGGTTGAGTACCGCCTGGAGGCAGAGACGATGAGGAGGATCGAGCCAGAAGAATCCACCTATCGAGGCCACGAAGAACGGCTCGTTAGGTTCCTCCATCGTCAGTACGAGAAGCGTTTGGGAAACGACTCGCGGGCCTCCAGCAGGCCCGAAGGAAGCGAGTAAAACCCACGCTTCAACGGACCGATACCGAAGATTGGAGGCATCTTGCGGTCGGGTCCTCAGGAAGCCCTCAACAACGGTCTTACCCGGATGAGCAGATCATCGGCAGGGTAGAGGCAGATGCACGATTCCCACGTGGGCTACACGTTCAGGCCCAGTGCGAATGGAGGACGAAGAACCCTCAGGAGCCAGTCATACTCCTAGCGAAGATCGACGGCGGGAGTGACAGGAACGTCATCTCGGAAGATCTTGCTGCGAGGCTCAGAATCCCATGGAGAACGAAGGCAGTACCGTTACGACTACGGACCTTCGAGGGAGAGCTTATGAAGCACAACGGGGGGCGTTGTACGAGAGAAACCCAAGAACTCTTGATCACGGTCGATGGACAATCTCTTAACGTCGATTTCGACATCCTACCCTTGAGTAAGCAGGTCGATATACTGCTAGGGGACCCTTGGATGGAAGAATATAACCCCGATATTTGGTGGAAGAAGGGCGAGAAGGTCCTCGCCAGCCGCCAAGAGCACAGCCGAGGCTCGGGACGCCGAACTCGAGGAGAAAACCGCCAAGATAACGGCGAAGGGCCACCCAAGAATACGGGTAGGAGCCAAGATCGCCTTGCAGGCCAACGCAGGGATCGAAAACGGTCGACTGAGCAAGAGGAAGAGCAAGAAGAGAGGTTCATTATGCTCATCCACGCTAGCGAGCCAGATGAGGACGACTTGAGTAAGACACCGGATGAGTTCAAAGGCGTACCACACGAATACTTGAAGTACGACATCTTCAGAGAAAAGATGAGGGACGAATTACCCTCACATGGTCCATTTGACCACGAGATCAACCTCAAGGAGGGTGCGAGACTCAGGAAGCACGTGCATCAGGTGCTGAAAGCTCTTGCGGGAAAGGGACTCTCAGTCAATCACTATAAGAGCGAGTTCCACACACAGAAGACGACTTTTCTGGGATTTGAGATATCGCCAGGGGAAGTTCGAATCGACCCAGCAAAGATTGCGGCAGTCAGAGACTGGCCCGCACCAGAGAACCCCACAGACGTCAAGTCCTTTATTGGATTTGTAGGGTTCTGCCGGATGTTCATTAAGGGATTCGCGGCTATCGCGCGACCGCTTCATGAACTCACCACCAAAGATACTCCTTGGGTATGGGAGGAAAGGCACCAGCAAGCCTTCGAATTGCTTAGGCAGAGGATGATCGAGGAGCCTGTTCTGAAGCTCCCAGATTTCAGCAAGCCTTTTGAAGTCGAAACAGACGCTTCAGACTACGCTCTGGGAGCAGTACTCAAGCAAAAGCATGACGGCCACAAGCACCCAGTTGCCTACATCTCTAAGGCTCTCCACGGCGCCGAGCAGAGATGGCAGATTCACGATAAGGAGCTAAAGTCGATCATCTACGCTTTTGAGGACTGGCAACCATACCTCAGTGGAACGGAACACCACGTACAGGTGTACACCGACCACCAGAACCTCCAGCAATGGGCCAAGAAGCAGAAACTCAGCGGCAGACAGACACGTTGGGCAGAGTTTCTCGCGCCATTCAACTTCGAGATCCACCACATCAAAGGCACAGAGAACGCCAGGGCGGATGCTCTTAGCCGGAGACCAGACCGCCGGGTCAAGGGCGAGCAAGTGGAATCTCCACCGCTCTTTGAGAAAGACGGAGATGTGCTGCGCCACCCGATCGAGGACTGGTACGACTGTTGCATGGTCTATAGAGTAGACTGGGCCAACGAAAAGGAATACCAGTTTCAGGTCACTACTCCAGAGGAAGAAGGCCTTCCGTTCGGTACTACTACCGACGGCCTAGGCAAAGTCTGGTACGGAAACAAGATGTACGTCCACCCGGACGTCCAGGCGGAAATGATTGGGGAACATCATAGCGCTAGGCTCAACGGGCATCTTGGGCAAGCAAAGACGCTCGCCAGAATCCAGCAGTGGTACGACTTCCCCAAGATCAGAACTCAAGTGAAGGAAGTACTAGAGGAATGCGAGGAGTGCAACAAGAGCAAGGCAAAACGGCATATGCCGTATGGACTCTTGGAACCACTACCAGTCGCCGAAGATCCATTCAGTTCAATTACAATGGACTTCATCACCAAACTGCCACCCTCAAAGGACCCAGTTACGGACGTGGTCTACGACGCGGTTTGGGTAGTTGTGGATAGGTTTACGAAGTATTCGTACTTCGTACCCTTCAAAGAGACTTGGGATACCGCACGGTTCGCCAAGGTCTTTTGGAAGCACATCGGGTCAAAGCACGGTTGCCCAAGAGAGATCATCACAGACCGAGACAAGCTCTTTGTCTCCAAGTTCTGGAAGAGTCTTACGGAAGAGATGATGACGAGAGGCAAGCCTTCGACATCACACCACCCGCAAACTGATGGGCAGACAGAGCGGCTCAGCCAAATCCTGGAAACCTACCTCAGGATCTACGTCAACTTTGAACAAGATGACTGGGTTGACCTCTTACCAAGCGCAGAGTTCAGTTACAACACCGCGGTTCTGGAAGCTACCGGAACCACACCCTTCTTCAACCTCTTCAAGCACGACGCGGATCTTAGGCAGGGACCACCTGCGGAAGCACCAAGCGCGCCCCGTGCAAGAGTGGTTGCAGATCGGGTCAAGGAACTCCACGTTTACCTCCAAGGGAGACTCGAGTTAGTACGCCAGCACATGAAGGAGTACTACGACAGACACAGGCTCGAGGGACCTCGCCTAGAGGAGGGGGATAAAGTTTATCTTTCTACGAAATTTTTGACGACAAAACGGCCAAGTAAAAAGCTGGACTTCAAGAGGATTGGACCGTTCAAGATTGAGAGAAAGGTTGCGACTTCCAACTACGCACTTTCACTACCCAGCTCGATGAAGCTGAGGACCAACGTCTTTCATATTTCACTGTTAGAACCAGCACCCAAGAATGCACGACTGGAAGAAGACGTCGAAGTCGAGGGCTTCGAAGAGGAATATGACGTCGAGCGAATCCTGGATTCACGACTCGTACGAGGAGAACTTCAATATCTCATTAAGTGGCTCGACTGCGGGAATGAGGAGAACTCGTGGGAACCAGTTTCACTATTGAGTTGCCCAGAAAAGATCCAAGAATTCCACCAGCAAAATCCAGATCGGCCTAGGGAGCCTGCAGGGGCAGCCCCAAGACGCCGAACGCGGGCGCGCAGATAAGAAGGGGAAATCACGCTATTAGACCTGGCCCGAAGGTAGGGGAGTCAGAGGGTCGGGAGAGCCAAAGGCCAGCGCTTGGTCAATGTCCGCCGCTCCCCAGTCAATAGAGAAGGGCGACACGGGGGGTGCCGCCTCGGGGGCCGCCAGGGTCTCGAGCCGCTCCTCCTCTTCCAGCTCTGCGATGGCCGCGTCCTCGTGAGAAAAGATCTTCGCTATCTTGGCCTGGAAGGCAGCACGCTGGCGCGCCGGCGCGCCGGCGCCGAGCAGTCGCGGATTTGCTCTTTTCGGCAGCGACCGCGCTCTTCTCAGCAAACTCAGAGGCAGCCGCAGCGTATAGAGATGCAGCCTCCTCGTCCAAGGAAATGGCTTCCTCCTCCGCAGCTTCAATCAGAGCACGCTCGCTTTGAAGCGCGCGGTCTGGACGGAATGTCAAGACGACGAATCCGGCAAAGTCGGAGGAAGACCTACAGTCAGGCCCGTCAAGGCCACAGCGCATGTTCCCAGCGCGGGTGCATTCAGCACAGCGCTTGGCGTTCGGAGGAGCCCGACAGGTCAGGGACTTCTCGCGGCACCGCATACAGGAAGGCATAGCTTCGTCGGATAAGGAGTAGTCGTTAGCGCGTTTGTGTCGACATAAGGTGTTTTTCGCGATCGTCTTCTTGGGAAGGAAACTCATGGTTAGCCACGCGCCGGAAGGGCGTTGTAGGAGGGAAAAAGTCACTTACCAGAGCTCCTGATCGCCAGCGGTCGCTGGCTTCGGGACGAAGCCTGGGAGAGGGGGGGCATCGTGTTACGATCCTGGCTCAAGCGCGCAGGAGGCTGCACGGAGCCTCCCGCTATTGGCTGGCGCAAGGAAGCGGGGTAGTTCCCCGCTTCACGCGAGTGCAGCCAATAGCAAGGCGGTCAGCGCGATCAGTATGATCAGGGCGATCAGTGGGAACTGATCGCACTGAGCACACTGACCGCACTGATCATCCAGGACCAACGCCCTGATTGGTCCACCTTAGATATATACGACGACCGTAGCCACGGTCTTAGATAGTTCTTGCTTGGTTCTTCAAGCAAGTAATACACATTCACTGCACTCATACACTTTGAGTGGCAATCCGATTTGGCTGTATTACCCGTGCGATAGGAGCTTGCCCTTTGTTCTATCTTCATAATTACCAACCCCAGCATTCTGTGGAGCCCGTGCTCCCTTACAGACAGACGACCCTAACAGTCGAGTGGTTTGTAATAGGCAGGTTGTGTGAAGGCAGGCAAATACAAGAGGCAAGGCTGCAAGTAAATAGTGGCTGAATTCGTAAGTAACTAAGTTAAGGAAAAAGGAAAGGAAAGGAAGAAGCCTGCGAGTCCTGCAGGCGATGGTTTCGTGGTAGTGGGGTGATGTCACGTGTGAGCTAGTCCTAATTGGGGATAGGGCTACAAGCGGGGCTTGCAGCCTCAGCGCAAGACCAGAATTCTGATAGCTCCAGATCTTTCTAGCGAAATAGCAATAAAAGCTCCTGATTTGCTGTCTCGTCCCATAGAAACCGGGCGAGACAAATTGAATATCTGAAGTCGCCGTCAAAGCCTCCATGGTCACACAGCAAACCAGTTCCGTGTAACGGCATAGAATGCAAGAGAGCAGCTAGATTATCCTAGTCATCCGGCGTTTATCGTAATAGCATCAGACATGCCCTTCGATGGCAGACAAGAACTTAGCACCAATAAATAGGACTATTAGCCTTGTCAAGTCTACTGAGAACAAGGTTTTAGGCTGACTCGACATGTTGCGTAACCATACTCGAAAACAATAATACTATTTAATTGTGACTGCAGGTTATTCGACTCTTCGCAAAGGCCGCAGAGACCCCCAAACTCCCACCCCTCCTCCGTTACTATTTAAGAACCAAAGCTTGGCACTCTTCCCCCCCCTTTCCTACCCACCAACCACAAAAAGCACGAGTGTAAAAAAACTCGAAACTCGCTTCGAAATCTTCGGCCTTTTCACCAACCCACCACGAACAGCACTTTCCTATTCTTGAGCGCATTTCAGCTTAGGTATTACCCACCCACCTAGTTTACCGTCTATCATCACTAAACCCGACACCAAGGTACCAGTCGAGATAGAAAATCTACTCCGCAAATCTTCCTTCTGTAAGTTTTTCGAGCAGCCGCAGGTTAGCCCTTCCCAAAAACAATAGCCATCCCAAAATCACCAAATCCCACCTGGAGATGAAAGCGCCGATTCACTTTTACCTCACCATTTTTGCCGAAATTTTCTGAGTGCGACGTCAATAATTTCTCAGCTTCAGTCTCTCCGCCCGGGCCTGTGTACGCACATACGATCAAGAAGTTTGAGCATTGCTATGAATCTTCCTCCTGACAATCTTGTTTTTATAGGAAGTCTACCTCTCCTCTCCTTCAGAACGCGCACCAGACACCACCGAGATGGCTTCAGGGCGTCAGTCTAGGAACCAGTCCAGCCGATGGGGTGCCCACCTTGAGGATGAGGACGAAGAAGACTTCGAGGCAAGTTTTTCCATGCTCAGTTCATTTTCCTTCTTAAGATGTTAACATTGAGAAACAGCTCTGGTTTACCGGACGCAGCTCGGCAGCTTCCCCCGCCTCTCAGCCAGCTCGTCAAAACCCTCAAAGTATGTTGACCGCTTTAACCTGCGAAAAAAAAACCAAGGCTTTGCCTGACCCTAATATGAGCATTTCTGTTTTCTAATCAAAATTTAGACAACAACCTTCCAGCATACCGAACTTCCTTAGCCCCCCAAGTGCTGAGCCCCCGAACCCAGCTAGTCCACAGCGAACAAGCGTACCAACAGCAGCCAACGGACTTCGTGTACAGGCGCCCTCCCCGAAACGTTTACCGGTCTCGTCCGCTCCATGCTCAAACACAGAGCTATTCTGGATACGATACTGCATACGGAGAACAGCAGCCGGCAGGAGCACCAGCAGGAATGCGTACTACGGGCTTCTGGGCGCTCACATATTCGGCCGATGGCGAGGAGCAGCCTGTTAACAGCGACAGGGAGCTCGCCCCGCCTCCCCTAGGCTGGTATAACGCGAGGGCGAGGCCCGAACGAGGACGAGCACAAGGGATGCCACCACCACCACCACCCGGGCCCTCTCTTCCTGTTCTCAGCACCCACACCTACCTCCGAGACCAAGAACCGGGACCGCTGAGGCCCGACCACATCCTCGACCCGTTCCGTTATCTTGTGCGCAATGCGCCGGACGATAGGCGGGATGCCGCACTAAGACGCTTCAGACCGCCGCCACTAGGGAGGCTGGAGGACGCAGCAACGGCTAAGTGCACGACATGCGGGGACGAGCTGTTCCTGATAGTGTCGTGCGGGTGCAAGTACTGCGGCGATTGCCTGCGGAGCATGTTCAGGGTGGCGTGCTCTCGCGAGGCGTTGTTCCCGCCCAAGTGCTGCGACACCGCGATCCCCGTCATCGAGGCTATTATGCACGAGGTCCTCGGCTGCGACCTCGTGAACAGATTCATGCAGCGGAGCCGCGAGTGGGCCATCCCGGCCGACCAGCGCCGGTACTGCAGCGACCCCAAGTGCTCCAACGTGCTCAACACCGCCGACGCTCTCAACGCCCCCGACGGCAGCTCTACCGCCACCTGTCACTCCTGCGGCACCCGGACTTGCGTCCGCTGCCTCGGCGCCGCCCACCTAGACCAGCTCGTCTGTCCCATCGACAAAAAGACCGAGCAGGTCAAGGGGCTGATGCAGAGGAATGCCTGGAAGCAGTGCAGCAAGTGCGGGCAGGCTGTGGAGCGTGCCAACGGCTGCAGACACATGATGTATGTTGTCTCCTCCTCCTTCTTTCGTTTACACACTGTTAGACAAACCGCAACCGAACCAGCCGCTAACCTGCCCCTTCCGTGTTTGCTAGATGCCTATGCGGCCACGAGTTCTGCTACCGCTGTGAGGGGCCGTGGGAGGTCTGCGCGGTTACTCCTAGATGTGTCAAGTGTCCAGACTACGGCGACCGCACCTACAGCCCTGACATTTTTGCTAACTAACATGCCAAGTTTTAGCTTCGCGATCTGGAGTCAGGTCGCTAACAGCAACGAGAGCGAGAGAGAGACGGAGAATGAGTGAGACAAGAGAATTATGGACGGACAGAAGACCAGAGAGACAGGGACGACAGAGACGACAGAGACGGACGGGCGGACAGATGGAGAGAATGAGCAAAGACAGGTGATGCATAGGATCCTATGTTTGTTTTGTTTCTTGTACTATAGCAAATGGCCCTATTGATGGGCATGGACTTTCCCGCCACACTAGCTGTAGCCGTCCTAGGCTGCATCAGGCATGGAGGGTTTTTCAGATTCGATTTTTCTTTTGCCTGCTTTTGATTTTTTTACCTTTTCAGTATTCTTATTGACTTTTTGCGCCACCCACTTTTCACTACAGTAAATACGCCGTGAAATTGGGAAAATGCAGCTGGGAACGGTAACCTAGAGTACAACAAAGCTTCACCGTTCGTACCGAGATAAATGTGTGGGAAGGCTTCGGCTCTTCGAGGGCCGCGTTGGAGTGAACCTTTGCACGGCAGAAGCTTTGTAACTGTACCGTACTTTGTAATAACTGTAAACAGTTGAACCTATCGTTTTGATCTGTAGCATGCTTGTGACAGTAATTGCACGTTGTCATCTCTAATTACCTATATTTAGGTTTCCTGGTGTGCGAACTTATATTTCACCCTCTAGACAGGGTGACCCACCTTTGCAATCGCCCCACTTTGCAATTTTTCCCCCACACCGCCAACTTCCTACTCTCTACCTTCCACCACCAACAACTTCCTCAATACTGGTCGGAATAGCCTCAAAATACGATGGTTCGACGCGTACGAGAGCGGCTAATAGCCGAGGCTATTGAGGCTGTTGATCAGCGCGCTCAGCAGAAGGAAGTAGCGCGCCTATATAGGATCCCTGAATCCACCCTCAGCAGACGACGCCGTGGACAACAGGATCCACGACAAGCCCAAAAAAACACCCAGAAGTTAACTGACGACCAGGAAGCCTTCGTCGCCGAGTGGGCTCTTGAGGAGGAAGCTGCAGGGCGTGCCCCAAGTCGTGCACGGCTAAGACGATTCGCATAAGCGATCCTGAACGAAGCCGGGCTCCCTGGGCGAGTTGGTGAGCGCTGGGTAGATCGGTTTTTTACCCGCAACCCCAGGGTAAAGACCAAGTTAGGTACCTTATTAGAACGGTCTCGAGTCAAAGGATCTACCCGTGAGAGATTCCAGGTTTTTTTTGATCGTTTGGAAGCTGTAATTAAGGACAAGAAGCTGGTACCTGCGAATATCGCCAATATAGACGAACATGGCATGCAAGAGACGGAAACTACGGTTGGGAAGGTGATTGGCGATGCCCTCACATCTCGGGCAGTCCTGACTGGCCCTGATCCAACGACCTGGGTCAGTGTTATCGAGTGTGGTACCGCTGAGGGCAAGCGATTGACGCCCGTAGTGATCTTTACGGGTGAAAATCTACAAGGCCAACACTTCCCGGATAACTTCAAGGAACTACCAGTCCTCAAGACCTGGAAGTACGACTGTACGCCTATAGGCTGGAGCAATAGCAAAATAGCTCTTATGTGGCTTAAGGAAGTATATCTTCCTCAAACAAAGCCCCAAAGGAAGGACGATTGGCGCCTATTAATCCTCGACGAACACGCTACTCATATCGACGAAGACTTCATGCTTCTAGCTAAAAGAAACCGCGTACACCTACTATACTTGCCTTCACACACTTCTCACAAGACCCAGCCACTCGACCGGTCTGTCTTTTTGGCTTTGAAGTCCTATTTTCGCCAAAGAACCCTCGAATTGGCTTCCTTCACAGCCTCAGCACCTATCAACAAGCAACGCTTCCTTTTTTGCTACCGGGACGCCTCAGCGCAGGGTATGTCAGCCCGGAATATCATATCCGGCTTCCGGAAGACTGGAATCTGGCCTTTCCAACCCGCTCGTATACTTGACGACCCCGAGGCGGTCCGGGACGAAGCTGCAAAACCAGTCCCCCCATCCACACCACCCCGGAAGACCCGGGCAACCCGGAACGACCTCTTCAATACACCTCAAGGTAGTCACGACGTCCGCAGGCAACAGGGCTTAGCCAAGACGGCCACTAGTCCCCGAGGTAGGGTCGTCAGGACTATGTTGACGAAGGTAAGGAGGGCACTTGATCAGAAGAATACGGAAATCGCTGCTTTGAAGGCAAAAAACGACTTCTTAGCCAACGAGTTGGAATCCAAAAAACCCTATTCACGTAAAAGGGTCAAAATAGACGCCAACGACAGATTTGCTACTATTGACGAAATTGACGAGGCTCAAAAAGCTAGTCAAAAGCCTCCCAAGAAGAGATCCAAGAAGACCAAGTCCAGGCCTGCACACTTGGTCCAGGAAGCTGAAGAAATTATCGCCCGTGGGCTTGAGCAATATAGGGCGATTTACGAGGACTAGAATGTACTTTTTTCTATAGAATTTGGCCTACAATTGAGTATTTTGACGATTCTTGTGGTGGGCGGTGATGGTGGTGGGCGATTGCAAAGGGGGGCGATTGCATAAGTGGGTCGCCCTGTCTACATCACATGCTAGGCTTTTATGACATGTGGGTTTTCGGATGAGGTGTCCTTGTACCTGCAACTTCGTATTTCACATGCCACATAATTAAAATGTAATTATACGTTGACGCCTAGGCAAGGTGGTTCTTACCGTCCATTGAGAATCATGTGCCCGTCTTTAGGCAGGGGGATTGGTACAGGCTAGCTCCGTGTGCAAGAGCCAGACTTTGGCAGTTGGCCTTGGCTTGCGCCCTGCTGGTAGAATGAACCGTCCCGTCTCCACTCGACCATGCACGCACTCATCCCCACACTTTCAATTCACTTCCCCTCTTAAGCGACCCGGATCCTTGTCGAGCTTCAACATCTTCGGCCATTTTCCCAACCGAGGAAGTTTAAACACACGTCCGCCGCCCGAATGGCAGCCACCACCAGCAGCAACGACCGGTTCAATACCGACGCAGCGACATGGGACGGGAATCCGACGGTGCAGCGCGCCACAGCGCTCGCTCATAAAGCTTATCTCGCCCACCTCGAAGCTGACACAGACGCTACAGCGCTCGCCACGTCCGACGTGCTCGAGATTGGCTGTGGCACGGGCTTGCTCTCGCTGGCCCTGGCACCAGCAGTGGCTTCGCTAGTAGCCGTCGACCCGGCCAAGGGCATGATTGCCGCGCTGAACGCCAAGCTTGAGAGCCAACCCTCGACCACCAATGTGCGCACCGTATGCGCCACTCTCCACGGCGCAGATGACCCACGACTCCAAGCGGCTGTTGCAGCGGGCACCGGAGTAAATAACGGAGGAGAAAAAGGAAGACGGCGCTTTGACCTCGTCGTATCTCACCTGGTGCTGCACCACGTCCCAGACCTCGACGAGCTGCTGGCCGTCATGTTTGCCTGTCTCCGCACTGGTGGCCGCGTGCTGCTGACCGACTTTGAAGATTTTGGACCCGCGGCTCGCAGCTTCCACCCTGAGGCCAAGATGGACGGCGTCGCCCGCCATGGGCTCAAGCGGACAGAAATGGCGGCCCTACTGGCGTGGGTGGGGTTCGAGGACGTGAGGGTCGAGACGGCTTTCTCTGTGGACAAACATGTCGAGACGCAGCCGGGCAGTGGAGACGTCGGCCCACTCGTGAAGTTTCCATTTCTGCTCTGCTCGGGTAGAAAGCCGTGATGGAATAACCGGCGGGACTGAGTGCAGGGCGTGGAATCTGCGAATCATGCTCTGTCGAGAAAGATGCAAATACATTGGGTTTCAGCCCGGAGTAAGTCGCCATTGTGGCGTTGTTCTTCATCCATTGGATCATCGTACGAGCTCCGCTGTCCAGATGAACCTCAACTCCTCAAAAGGTGGAGGTTTGTGGTGTGATTGTTTTCGGCGTGTTTGTTCAGCGTTTGCAAGGTGGGGGTGGCCTCGAGATACTGCGTTCTAGTAAACGCGCATTAAGCTTATTGTATTTGAAAACGTGGATAATCGTTGCGGGGTGTCGGAGTTGCCGGCCTGAATATTGAGAAGAGACATCTTCACGCCCGAACCGTAACCTTCACTCCAGACTTACTGCTTGCCCAAAGTATAACTGAGAGTACCGGAAAATAAAGGAGGGCCTCTTTTACCACTGTGAAGATACAGGCAGCTCTCGTGAGTTTTGGATAATGTTAATCGAACTATACTCTGTCGTGTTGCAAACAATGGATTTTTAATTGTGCGTAGATTCATGTATCTATCTTTCAATCAGTGCTTCTGGTCGAGGGGCTTGGCTGCGGTCGGTGTATCAGTCGTGTTAGATGGTTGGTGAGATATCTTAGAGTCGCCCGGCCGGCTTGGTTTTATCCAATGCTGAAGCGACCAATCGGACGGGCATTGAGATTTTCTGACCTAATGTGGGGAGGAGTCGCGGGCCAATTTGCGTTTGGTTTTCAGCGTGGGATCTGAGGGGTTATCGCGAACTGTTTGTGGGCCTCTCGGCTATGCATCAATCACTTTTTGATGGTGCTTACTCAAAGGAGGCGGCGTCGGCGGCGGCGGTCTGAGTGTGGTTGCTTTTGAAGCTAGCTCGAGTGAGCGGCCTTCATTACCATCCACTTCAAGCCAGTCCCTGAGCTCGTCTACAGTTTCGTCTAATAGTTTGTTTACGTGATTTCTTGTCGACAAACGGGACCTGATTTGACAATCAAGGTTCCAAAAGGGGCATGCTTAACCACCAGAATAACTTGAACCTACCTTGTCTAATTTCACCCTTCATTTCAAGACCTTTTTGGAATTGGTGTATACGTCATTTACAATGACCAGGGGCTGCTAACGTCATGGTTTTTCTGACAGGGGCGTTTCGCGAGCTCAGCTTTGGCCAAGACGGAAACATGGGTCAATGTGAAGTCGGTCAAGGAGGTCAAGAAAAAGGCCATGTGCAAATTGAGACTCGGTAGGACTATGTGCAGATGAGAGATATGTACAGAAAAGTATGACCAGAGGACAAATACAAGACGAAGCGTCAATATGTATGTACATGAATGTGAAAGCGTGAAAACTAACAACAGAAGTGTATATGTACACAGAAGGTAAGTTGTGAAGTTAGTATAGACAAGAGTAAGAAGAAGAGGGAACATAGGTGTACATATGGACGAAAATAAAAATCCAAGAAAGTGTTCAGCGTGAAGCCATCTAATCCAAGTCTTGGTCAGTTGGTCCAGGACTAGGTTTGGAAGGTATTAAGACATTTGAGAGTTCATGACGAGTAGTGAGCCACGTAAGCGATCTCCATCATGGCGCCGTAGCCGTCGAGAGTGGCGCCGTTGGGATATCCGGGCTATTGAGATCGACACGTCAGTGCAAGACATCGGGGGGTTGTTGAGGTGTGCAAGGGAACTAAGCGAACGTACCCAGCTGCCACCAACGGCAACATTCAGGATGAAGTACATGGGGTTGTTGGCGACGGTGTTCCACACATTCTGGTTGTTGATGTCGGACCCGCGGATCTGCCAGTACTGCTGGCCGTTGAGAAACCACGTGATTGTCTGAGATTGCCAGGCAGACGGGGTGCGGTCCCAGACAATGCGCCAGGTTTGCCAGTCCTGGCTGGGAATGCCGATGTTTCCGCCGCGGCCATTTGGCTCGTTGCAAATCCCACCAGGGTAGGTGTCGCAGTGCATAGTACCATAGCCCGTCAGTCTACCATTGACGCTTTCCATGATGTCCAGCTCGCCACAGGCAGGCCAGCCTGTGCCATGGCGCAACGAGTCGCCCAGAAGCCAGAACGCCGGCCAGATGCCCTGCTTGGTGCTAATATCGTTGCCCCCGAACCGGATCAGGGCCTCGGCCATGGTACGCTTTCCGGCCTGCGGGCTGAAGGTGTACTTGGATTCGATGCGCCCGGACGTCCAGCTGGAGCCGTCCCGCCATGGGACTATCTGCAGAGTGTTGCCGCCGCTAGTCTGAACCTGCTTGCTCGTAGCCCGGTACGTCTCGAGCTCGCCGTTGACGTTCAGATATCCATCGATGATGTTCCAGTTGTTCTGGTTCGGCAGGTTGCCGCCGCTGCCGGCAAAGGAGTCAGACCACACAAGATTGTAGCCGCCGTAGCTCGGCGCGCCCCATGCCGATACCAGCACCGGCAGGAAAGAAAGGAGGGAGGCAGAAGCAGTGAAGCGCATTGTCACTGTGCTGTTTGTTTTGAGTGTCCAAGGAGTGTCGGGCAAGAAGTTTTGCCGGATGAATGATGTAATACAGTAAGGAGAGACAACAATAAGTTTGAACTAGAGCTTGAGATGGTGCGAGTATCGATAAGAAAGGAGTGTGTGCTCTTGCCCGCCAAAAGAGTGAAACGGGATCCAAGGGAGAATGAATGTCGAAAAGATGGAGAAGCCGGAGCCGGGAGGGTGAGCCAAAGTGGTTTCACGAGCGCATCTATATATACGTAATGTCACGATATACTCTCTGCCGGGGTCTAGAGCTTCTGGGATCCTCCATGTCGACAAACTGGGCCATATCAGCCGAGCTGGCGAGCTGACGGAGGAGGGATGTGGGAGCCTGGGAGGGGGGAACAGGTGGTCTAAGGGGGGTGTACTGCATGGTATGCTTCTGTCCTTGGTGCGGCCGCCACGAGCTCGCACCAGGTCCAGAATGGGACCTCCTAAGGCCCGTAATTACTGATAAATTGTTGGGGGGTGATAAGCCTGACACGGAGCACCAAGGTAGTTGAAATGCATTGCAGGCCGTGTTTGTCTGGCCACGTCGGCTTCTGACTGGCCGAAGACGGTGGGACGCTCTGCCGCAACAACCAAGAGCTAACTCAGGGGTGGCTCGATGAGATAGCTTGGGCGGGGACTGTCATTGGCCAGCGGGTTGAGCCGCCGCGGCGGCCCAGCCAGGACCTGGGTCCGAAGCTGCGGGGGGTCGCATACATCTCATATCCCCGGAAGGCACTGCTGGCGCTCCTGGCGTTCCTGACGGACGAACCAGGTCTAGAAGCTTGCAGATTCGATTTCTCCGGCTGCATGTAATCGAGCGCGACCCGCAGCTAGACATCTCGAGCTCCCAAAGAAGACACTGGTGCTAGAAAAGGAGCGGCCTCGCGGTGTCGGGCCAAGAGTCCGACCGCATTTGTGACAGCCTTGGCTGCGTGCCGTTGCGTCGAGTTGGTTCGTGGTCAAGCGAGTAACATAAGTGTAAGTGCATCCCTTGTGTTGTGCTGAAGGATGCTGCCGCCGCTGCGCATGGGATTCCACGGAGAGACTCCACGGATTCCACGGGGTGCATTTCATCTGAACATGACCAGAACGCGAGCGCGCCAATTGCCAAAGAAACACTGCAAATCTTGCTCGCGCTGGGATGCGGGATGCGGGACCCGGATGCAGTTGGCTGATGACCGGCGCAACTGCCCTGAAAGGACCGTGACTACGACCTCTGGTCGGCGTTTGGGTAGCATCGCGCGGCAGTCCTCCGACAGACACGTCTTGTATGTGCGGATAGACAATGGACATGCACCCCAGCTCTCAGGCCTCGCCGCCCGCTGTTGCAATCTGCCGATGCTCCGAATCGAACATGAAATCTTCAGACTGGACGTGTAACGTTGTGTCTGCTTGCCGCCAACTGGAGTCCTGGACGGACTTGCGCGGCCATCTTGTGATAGCTTTGCGCAGCGTGGCCATGGAGTATGAGCTCTCGAGTGAGTCGCGCGCTGCCTCTCGGCTTGCACTTTGCTTTTCCAGAGACGCGTTGCTACCAAAAAAAAAAAAAAAAAAGTGTGTCAGTCGGTTTGCGCGGAAAGACCACGCCGCAAGTCTAGAATGCTCACTGCAGGCGCGTGCCTGACAAAAGGGCGTCAGAAGCCCCGGATTGGGGGAAGGCGAAAGTTGCGCCTCACGGAGCACGTCCCAGGGGCATTACAGCGCCAGGATTGGCCAGGCCGGAAATTGTTTAGGGGTATGGCGCATTGCCCGGAATGGCCGCGGGGGTCTGCTGGTCCTCTCAGAGCACCCCACTTTCCCCTACTGGATAAGGGGCGGGAGGCCCCAAGGATGTGGTCGTGGATGCCTGGCAGTGGCCAGACCAGATCTTGAGCGCTGCCAGTTGCCAAGCCGGGCATGCAAATCTTATAGGTTCTAGCAAGGTACGGAGGTACCCAGGTAAATCTTTGACCAGATCTGCGAAATAAGGTATTACACTTTACCTGGTAGGTGGGCAATCGACTTTTGCCTTCCAGGAATAATTATGGCCTAGAACGAGACCCTGGCTCTGCAGAATCTGGCCTAATTACGAACAAGCACTGGAAGGCAGGGCTGTCGCGTGTTGCCAGAGATGCGAGAAGCCAACACGTGGAGAGATCAGCGGCAAGACCAATCTGAGGCGATTGGAGAGAGCTTGAGAGCTCCTCTCGAATTTGCGGGGCCAAAAGCCGACTGCAGCAGTGTCACGTCACCCGACGTTTTGGCAAAACTGACGTCGACTTAACTTCCAGTGTTCAGCTTTGGTGGTGTTCTCCCGTCGCATTTTGGTCTGCTCTACCATAACTCTTCCCCGCATTCCCTCGGCCCAAGTCGGAGAAGCGAGCCTAACCAAGCCAAAGCAAGAAAAGAAAAAAGGAGCAGACGGACAGAACCGAATCCTGTCTAGTCGAAACCTCCAAGTCTTGGTCTCAGCCCTTGTTTGCTCACTCGCACTCACACTCACACCCACACCCACACCGTCACCATCACCGTCACCATCACACGCATCCTCACCTCCATCATGATCATGCCTGTGACCGCCGACGAGACCGTGGCCATGACAAGGTTAACGCTCCCTCGCTTCCCCGCTTTGCCGGCCGAGCTGCGGCTCTCGATCTGGCAACAGGCAATCCCCGAGGAGGTGCCGGAATTGTTCTTCTACGACGGCAGAGACTTGAGTTTGCGCGGGGAGGGCCCAGCATTTCCCTACCAGTGCTGGGTCGACATTGCCTTCCCCGCCATGATGCACACCTGCGTCGAAGCGCGGGACGTGGCTATGCGCTGCTTGGCATTTCGGCGGCAGGAACTCGGCGGCGGCTCCACGCTCCAAGTGTCACACCGGCTGCTGAGAATCGACTTTGACATTCCGTATCTACCTGGCGAGAACATGTACCGCTTTTTTCGCCGCAGCCTGCCAGAGCCTCGCATATTCTCACTGCCTCCACAGATAGGAGGCCAACCTAACAACAATGCTGCCCCAACTTGGGTAATGCCAGAGATACGCCACATTGCTGTAGGGGCAACCCATTTTCTGCAGTCATCGCTGTCACTCTTAGTACACCGCTACCTGGCCCGCTGTCCCGCGCTCAAGACGGTGTACGTCATATTCAATCCCACTCCTGCCACTGGCAGCTTTTTGTCCTCGAAGGCCAGGCGTGTCCATCATTATCGCCTAAGAGACTATTCCATGGTGGGGCTGCCCGCCTATAATCTCTCGAAAGAAGAGCGCCATTCTTACATACACGACATTGTCGCGGCGAGGGAAAAGTCGATCAACGCGTATCTAGATCGGCGGCTGCCACCTGGCCAGGCTCATGGCAGAAACCATGTCAAGTTCGAGGCCAAGGAGTTGTTTCCTCTTTTGAAGCAGGATCATGAGTGGCCTCACTGGTTCTTCGACTAAGGACGTTTGCCTCAGGCTAGAGTCCGTTCTCCTTCGACCAGCGACGTTGGTAACGGGCAAATTTCTTGATTCATACAGGTCGAGTTAGCGGGCGTCACAAATCTTCGTCTCTGTTTCACATTGATTAAGACTGCATCTTAGGCCGTGTTGCCTAGTATTGCCATGGCGATAGGGGGCAGGTCTTCCCGCTTAAATCGCAACTCTACACACGAACATACAAATCTCTCTTCCTTGCATGTATCTTACTCCCCGCCTGCCCATACAAAAAAGACTCACGATGAGCGCCTAGAATTCCTGGATCCACTTGTCAGGGTGAGTTCCGAGTTGAAGTAGTTGGTTCTTCCGCCAGCACGCTGCTCTCTGTACTCCTGGCGCGCCTTCTACTCGTTCTTTTCGCTTCTCCATGCTCTCTGAGTAAAGTAGTCGCTCTTCTTTCCGTAACAGTCACCCTAGGGCTTGGAGAGCTTCAAGTCGATATTGCCGTTGCTATCTTCTGCGCCGAGAATGTTACTAAATTTGCCTTTTACAATTTACGAAAAGACAAGTGTCGGGTGTCAGCAAATGAATTCTGGTAGGGTAAGAGACAGACAGCTGTGGGCAGTGACTTACTCGTCGTGCAAGCGAAGTGTATAATGACTGAAGCTTTCGGTTGAGCGGATTGTAGAGAATCAGATTGCAAGCTGGTGGCCCTGGGGTGGTGAGCGTATCCGTGAGCATGGACCTGAGAGACGAAGGCAGTATTCATGCTCGCGGGAGCAGGCTATTCGTGTCTTGGAAAGTTTGCGGACTCTGACCAACTGCTGCAATCAGACACAATTTTGGCCAGTGTTGGTTGTGCACCAACAGTTTGCAGACCACGACGCATTTGCACCATGAACACGGACGTTTTCGACGAGTACTTTGTGTACATTGACTTTGTTGACTCGACCGAGGCTCTATGGCACACCACACCGGCGACGCCACTGCCGGGTCCAGCAACATGGGACACAGAAGCAGACCTTGTTGCCAAGCTGGCTCCCTTTGTGAGACAATTGCCCGCCTATCAATCACGGCAACTACCTAGACAGGCACTTATTAACCAGGAACTAAGCTAATGTAGAAACTGCAAATAACTAGAACGCATAGGAGGACAGGCTACCGCCCCTGACTATGGTGTAAGTGATCATTATATCTCAAACCGTCCCAAGATAAATGATCGAGTATCTTGTTGTCAAGAGCAAAAACTGATAATAGCCAAGAGTCCTGAAGGGCAACGCACGGTTCGGCGAGATCAGTGCCTAGAAGGAGCATTTCGTCCAGCTGCTCGCGAAGCTCGGACTGCCTCGCTCAATCGTCCATGCCATGCTCTCCAACAACGGGCAGGCCGCCCACCAGGTCGTCATGTCGCGGCACTAGTGGGAGTTCCTGGCTGCCGTTGTCGGGCTCACCGTTGCCGTGTTTGCCGTGTGGGTCGTGTACATGCGGTGGAGGCGCAGCGCCGACTCGCTGCAGCTGGCGGACATCGAGAAGCTCGAGCTGGCCAAGGTCGAGTGATTTGAACTGGGCGAAGATAGATATTCCCCCAAACTCGTCATAAAAACTAGGAGGCGAAGCGAGTCGCGAGTCGCGAGGAGACTGGGGATAATGTTTCGATCACGCCGCGGTCGGCGTAATTAACGATCCTACGTGTTTTTGATATTGTATTCGAAGCGCAATGATATAGTTACATGTATAGATGAAGAACATCGCACGATATATAACGCAGCAATTACCTAACTAAACATTCTCACATGAAAACAACCGCCCTAGAAGAGCCTCCCGTCCGTATCAGGAATGTCCACCTCCAGCACGGCGAGCCCGAACCCTAGCGCCTGTGCCTTGGTCCTGCCTACACTGCCACCGCTCCTCCTCCTGGCAGCCTGGCCGCCAAAGTTGTCATCGTCGATCCCGACCGTCACGGCCCACGGCTCGTCTCTCGACCAGTCGTCATCAAGCGGCGTCGCGTCCGCACTCGGCCGCTCCTCTGAATGTCCGCTCTGCTTGCTCTCTTCGTCCTCCTCTTCGTCCTCCTCTCCGTCCTCCTCGTCAACGCGGGGAGCCGTGAACATGGGCGTGCTAAGCGGATCTGGGCTAGCGACGAGCGTGACGGTGCTGTTCCGTGTGTGGCTGTAGGGGTGGGGGTGGTGCTTGTTCTCATCGCTCTTGGGCCTGCTGCTGGCGAAGCGGCCGCGTAGGCTGAGGTCCGACAGCGTCGAGTTCCGGCCGAGGCTGAAGATGCCTGAGCGCTGCTTGAGCGGCTGGTCTTTCTCGGCCGACGAGGTAGTCGACGTTGATTCTGGGCGCGAGAGCACGCCGCCCTGCTGCTGCTGCTGCTGCTGCTGCTCAGCAGTAATACCGGCGAGAGAGGAACTGCTTCCGGGACTGGTGGCGCCGCCGGTGGTAGTGCTAAGGGTGGGAACAGAAGTGCTGGCTCCGTCGGCAGAGGCCTTTCTTGCGGGTGCTGTGGCCTCGGCCTCGGGCACGGGCGGTAGCGGTTTTTTATCTTCCTGCATGAAGATCTCGCGCGGAAAGCCGCTAATGGACAGGTAGCGCTCGGCCTGCGGGATGCCGCTCTTCAGGTAGCTGTGCTCCTGCAGGCAGAGCGCCATGCGCGTGGCGCTGGAGTGGATCGACGCCTCGACGGTGACTTCGGTAGGCATGTCGAACAGGCCGCGGCGGCACATGTCGTCGAGCGTCGCCGGCGGGATGGCAAACTCCTTGTACGTCTCGTCGGCGAGGCCGTAGTTCTCCTGCACCAGGAAGAAGGGTTCAAAGTCGCCGTTGTAGCAGTTCCGTAAGATTTGGCCGAGGCCCTTGATATCCTGGCTGCCCTTGTCAAAGCGGCAGTGTATGTATCCTGTGGGCGCGGCGGTTGTGGTGTTAGAACTCGCGAAAATGAAGAAAGCAGGAACAGTACGGAAGAGTCTCACCCCGGGTAGTAAAATTCCCGCTTAATTCCTGGTGAATTCCCGAGTGTCGTTCATAATAGAACGAGCTGGCCACCAGCCGGTGTGCTGTCTCCCGGATATCGGGGTTACGGGAGATGCTTTGAACAGCCTGGTCTTCGAGCGACTGTAGCTCTGTGACTTGGTCGAGGTTTGGGCGGTCGCCTTTGAGCTGGACGTTGATTCGCATGTATCGTCGCTCTTCTTCCGTCGACCAACCGCGGGGCAGCATCTTGTTGGAGAAGTCGCGCCATGTCTGCTCGCTGTTGAGCTGGCTGTCCAAAATGCCATAGGCAGTCCGCCACATGTAGGTGAAGCCTGAAGTGCTGCGCTTCTGGAGAGTCCGCTCGGCCTTCTTGATTTCGGCCTCGACATTTGCGCTCTGCGCCAAGGGCTGGCTGCTGAGACCTGTCCCAAGAGACAACAAAATGTCCGGCTGGCGATTTCGAACATCTTCCCAGAGAACTTGCCGCTCGCAGTGAGCAACCCATGCCGGACAGTTGTGGTGGATGGCTCCGTCTGTGAATGGGACCCCAGTCTCGGCTTTGATGAACGGCTTGAAATACAAGGGAGCAGCCGATGTCGCTCGAGCGCTAATACGGGGTCAGCACGGAGAGCCGGGGTTCCGTATCGTGGATTATGGTCTTGGGGTACGTACGCTTCCCAGAGCTTAAGCTCCGTGGCTGGGTCCTGAGACCGAAGGAACTGGTATGGCACTGTCTCCAAGTCAGCTCCAGAGAAATGACGACAGATTCTGACCAGACTTACGCTTCTCACGTTTCACTCCCGAAGAGTTGTAATTCGTCAAGATGACTGGTCTGTTCTCTGTCGCAGCGGTTGACGTCACAGCTACCTTGACTGGGGTCCTGAGCTCGCTGGATGAGCCACCAAACAAGAGAGACTGGTCGTCAAATGCTGCCTTCAAAGCCAGCTCAAAGGGCGTTGACTTGTAGTAGCTCTTGTGGCTGACAAGGGCAAGCCGCTTCAATGGCCGAGCCGTGAAAGCGTCCTTGCAAAGCTTCTTGAAATGGGCGATACATGTCGATACCCGCCAGTTCTTGACACCCAAGCCAAGAGCAATGATTCCTCCGGTGCTAACATGGGCGTAATGTTAGACCACACGATTCTGAACTCGAAGGTTGAAAATATGACCGTATACGCACCTCGTCCCGACTATCAAGTCGAAAAAGTTCTGGACTGGGATCAAGTCGCCGAGCTCTTTTTCAATCGCTCTGAGAATCACCAATTCAACGATGCCTCGGATACCTCCTCTGCAGTGTGAAGGTAATTAGCAAGTGCTTAAAACAGCTCGGCTGTCACGGCTCGGAACGTACCCGTCGAGACAGAGAAGGCGAACGCCAGCGTCCTTCGGCTTGAACTTGATCCTGACCGGGTTGTCGTACCACTTTGCATACTGGGGATGCAGCGGACAATACCGGACCTCGAACACACAGCCGCCGACATCGTCGCCGATGGACTGGACGCAGGCGTCGCAGAGGACGTGACCGCAGGGCAGCACGTGCTCGGGAACTTTGCGCACGCAGCAGAGGCAGGTCGCGTGGCTCTTGACCTTTGCCACCGAGTCGAGCTTGCGGTAGAAGGTCTCGATCTCGGTACGGTGCAGCCTGGCCACCAGCTCCCTCTCCTGCACGTCGGCGCCGAACTCGTTCAGCTTTCTGATGAGTATGCCGAGGTGAGCGTTAATGACCAGCATCCAATCGTCGAAGAACACGTCGGACGAGAACTCTGGACTGTAGGACCCCTTGGAGAAAATCTTGCCGGATCGCGCCTGGTGGCCTTTCTTGTGCAGATTCTTGACGACGCAGCACGTGCTGCCGTTTTGGGAAAAGCCGCAGCGGAGCCATTGCTCGCAGAATTCGTCGTAGGCTGCCTTGATTGGCATGTAGAAGGTGTTCCAGAGCAGTGTTTTATAAGACCCTGTGAGTTTCTCATGTCAGCTGTCATTGTCAAGGCCCTGGGTGCTCGGGTGAGTGGGTGCTTCAATCACCTTGCAGGTCCTCTCTGGCGGCAGCGAGCATCACGCAAGAGGCAATCGGCCAACTCAGAAGCTTCAGAAGCTTCTCTCCACACCGGCGGTCCTTGAAGCTGTCGACATCGTTGTAGATGGACAGCATCAGGTTCAGGATGTGACCTCGGAAATCGCGAGGCATTGGGTTGTGCCGCAGTGCTTCCTTCACAAAGTCAAAAGGCTCGTCCAGTCGGCGAGAGAAGTGATCGTAGGCCGAGTTAACGTATTGCTGCAGTCTCTCGGCGTTGAGAAGCATGCGGACCGACTTTTTGTGGGCGAATGAGGTTGAACATTTCTGACGGATGACGGCATGGAGCTTTCCGATCTGGTCGTCGATCAGCATGTAGCGGCCCTTTGTCGGGATGCGGACCACTGTTATGGACGAGTAGTAGTACTCCAGAAGCTCCTTGGTCGATGAGATATTCTTGTCAATCGTCTTCAAGCTTGCCACGATATTCTGGAGCTTTTGAACCTGATGTATCGAGTCCTTATAGTCGTCGAGCAGCTTCTCTGTTGCAACTTTCAGGTCCCATTGCTTCTCATCAATGGCGTTCTCCGTTGCGTTCAAGGCAATAATGATGTGCGGCAGGTTTGGCTGGTTGATTGACTTGTCGATGGACGAGTAAGCCCACTCGACCAGCTTCTGAAGGACTTCTGTTTCAAACGTCCTAGAAGTAGTGAGTTAGCGTCGAGTTCAGTACTTCACCCACTCAGGTTGAGCAACATGTTCCCACGCGCGGCGATACACTCACCTGACCTCGCGGAGGACAAAGACAACGACGTCGGAGAAGGTGTAGAGTATCCTCGGGTACAGGCGCTTGACGGCGTAATCTCTGGACTGCGGTTTGGCGCCATTTGCCCATTCCAGGGGTTTCCGGAGCTTGCTCTTGGCCACGCGCGTGGTGGCCTTGGCCGCCTCGAGCTTCTCCTTGCACGCCACGCCCCGGGGCAGCTTCTCGCCGCCACTCATGCCCTCGCAGTCGGCGTAGAGGATTGGCCGGCGGCCCGAATATGTCGAGGGGTCAGAGTACAGGTGGACGTCGCCTGTGGTCGGGATGTTGTCGTGGACGAGGCCAGTTACAGGGGCGGAAAATATGTCTGCATGGTGCGGCCGCGTGTTGGTGCAAGCCTGCTCACGGTTGATGAGCATCTTGATGACCGTACTTTTGCCAGCACCTATAAGTCGTGAGCTGTTAGGAGCCCGCCGTTGGTTCCGTTCCGACAGGGGAGATGCGGGACAAGACAGGAGAGGCTGGAGGAAAGCAGTCCCACAATCTGGTGGTAATCACACACCTGTCTGGCCAACAAACGACACCAAGTGCGGGAATCTCTCGGCAAAATCGCCGGTCTGGCTCTCACGCATGATGTTGATGAGGCGGTTTGAGTAGTGGAGGAACTGCTGGTTTGATCCCTTCAGGACACCAAACCAGGTAGTGTTAATGTCGGACTCGTGCAGGGCCTCCTGCTCTTCCAGGCTCCGGTCATGGCCAAAGATTTGCGTCAGCCGCTGCACTACCTCCGGGTCAACTTTCTCATGTGGCCGGCCGTCGATTCCCACCGCTCCCGCTCTATGGGGGCGTTCCTTGACCCAACACTCGTCACAAAACGCATCGTTGGCGCATTGGACGCAATTCCAGGTCCTCACATTGCGATCGCACACACAGCAGGGCTTGTTGGTCCCCGGTGCCAGTTGGTCCATCCTAAATAATCACAGTCCAATCGCTGAATGATGATCAATTAGTTTGGTACTTGGAGCCGAAGAGGGAGTGGACTCCGATAGCCCAAGTCGACCAGGATACCCCATTTTTAGAGATCTGGATGAAAGAGATAGGGCTTTACTATTCTGTTTCGGGGATTCCAATAACTACTGTCTCCCCTAGAGCAAGCTTTTGGGCCTATCCGTAGGGAAATAAGGCCTCTCACGTCTTCGACAGTCCCAGGCCAACAGTCATTCAGAGACTCTGTTGACATTAACTGGGAAGGGGCATTCGGAATGGCGAATTTCGGAAATGGCGGGAGTGTATGCAAGCGGTGGTGTGTGCATTCACGATCAGGCTCCAGGCTCCAGGATTTGGCTCCAGGATTTGGCACAAGGAGTGACTGACCAGACTGCAAGTGGTGTTAATTGGTCGCTCGGGAGACGAAACTAGACGACAATTACCGCGCCGAGTTGGGGCAGGTTCCTATTGCCTTAGGCCAGATGATCGATTCGACGGCGAAACAAATTGTTTTATGCACAGAGGAAGAGGTGAAGGGGGATGAGCAGAGTCCCAAGAAGGAGGGGGTCTTTTTGTCTGGGCCCTCTCGATTGCACCTTGCCTGCGTCGGAACCCGGAGGCTGAGCTGACTGCACCTCTTCTTGCACCAATTATCGGGCGCATTGAGCTGCAGCAAATGCGACCAGGGCTGCAATCCTCATGCTTTCCCTCCCCCCTTCCCCAACTGTTCTTGGCAATGCCGACTTCCGTCTTTTTGGGTCAGAGCCTCGTCCATATCGCATATCGCACCCACACTCCCATCTCAAGTGCCCCGCCTAGACCAGCTCGCTAGGGCCGGATTGGATGGGGCCTGAAGACATGGATGCTGGGTCGGTATCGACGATGGGACCGTAATCTATTTGACTGGCGGCGAATAAATGACCATGTAGACTCCACTTGCTAGTACTTACCGCAAGTGCCCATAATTGGCTGGCCGCTCGCCGTGGTGCAATTCGTCAAATGATGGCGGGTTTCTCCATCGCCTCCATTTGCATGACTAGTATTCGCTATGAACGCTATTTGCACTCCCCTCTTCCACATACAACCATAGGCACTGGAAAATTCGGGATCCCGTCCGCTCTCCCATAGACAAGCCAGCGACCGCGATCTTGGTTATCGGAGTAAGCGACCTTTTTTTTTCCTAGCATCCTAGACCCACTTTTAATCGGATATACCCAATCAAGTCACTATTACCCACCCACAGCTCAAACCCATCCACAACTTACGTATACCATATAAATAAAAAACCCCAGCATTCTGTGGAGCCCGTGCTCCCTTACAGACAGACGACCCTAACAGTCGAGTGGTTTGTAATAGTCGGCCAAGTGTAAGACAGGTCGGCCAGGTACAAGGCAGGTGTGAGGACCCGTCCACCAAACTGGCCCTGAAGCAGCCAGAGCCGCCCAGAACCCACGGGCCTATCAGAAGCCTCCTCGAGGCCCCACCTACCCCACTGATAGATGCAAACTTATTCGCGAGCACGCGACGCGTTGTCGGACTTTTCCTTCTTTCCCTCCTCAGTTTAGAATCTTCGTCGATAGTACCCAATGGACTGAGTTCACCTCAATGCCTTGCCCTGGTCGTGACACAATTCTAAACTCTTCTCTTCCTTGCTGGCGAAGCAAGTAAAATATATCTCCCTCATTCCCGCATTCATTTGCAACCCCTACGTCGGCTGTACACGACGCAAAACTAAGGCACAGAAACCCCGCGCAGTCAATGCCGCCGAAGAAAGATTACGGCCCACCGACACGCAAATCCGATCGACTCTCTAAAAAAGATAGCAGCGACCGGACCCCAACAGGAGAATCGAGTATCACAGCCAAAGTGCCAGACGACACCGTCCTCGATACACCCTCGAGCCCAGAGCTAAAGAAGCCCGCCGAAGACCCCAGTGACCCCGAGTCAAAAGTACCTGTCACTACCAACAGCAACACCGAAAGCAGATCGCCCGCTGTTACCACGCGAGACCCTGATCAAGATACATCTCTCGCCTCTGTCGAAGTCGAGATAACGAACTCCAGCATCCTCACCGAACAATCGGAAGTCAACCGACAATTAACCCATTACAACCTCCGCCCCGCACCAACAGACGACGAGATGATCGCCACAGGTACACCCACCCCACAATCAACAACCGCAGACATGGCCTCCCCCACGCCTACCACTACAGAACTTCAAGCCACCATTGCCCGGCTCCAAGCCGAGCTCAATGCCCGCTCCTCTACACCCATTCGCCAATCCAGCGCCGCTCGCGAAGTGACCTCTGCCAATAGCGCCTTCGGAGGCGAGCGTTTCACCCCAACCGGGTTCGCCGCGTACCCTGCGTTCAAAGCCTACGGCACCGATCAGAGAGCCCCGAACCCTGATTACAACCCAAAGTCCCGCAAAGTCGGAGTCGACCCCGGTATTTTCCAGGGTAACAAGGACGAATTCGACCATTGGGTCATCACCCTAGCAGACAAGTTCGAGGAAGACAATACTACCTTCAAGACCGAACGTAGCCGTATGGCCGTCCTCCACGCCGCAACCAGAGGACCCGCCAACGACCTCCTCTCTAGCCGATACCAATCAACCGAATACCCATTCGCTAGTGTGGCCGAGATGGTCGCTAGCCTACAGGCAGTCTACCACGACCGTAACCAGGGATCGAAAGCTCGGGAGGAGCTACGTAACCTGATGTACGACCCCCGCGATAAACAGATGGACATTCACCAGTTCATCGGTAAGATCAATAGCCTGGCCGATAAGGCAAATATCGCAAAGGCGGACCGAAAGACCACGTTGTACGAGCATATCCCGGCCAACCTGAACGTTGAACTTTTCGACGCCTCCGAGAGCCCTGATATCTCCTACGAATCGTTTGTGGTCAAGGTAGCCAACTCAGCCCTGGCCAAGAAGAGAGCCTACGAGCAAAGCAAGACCTTCAAGGAGTCGAAGGAGAGACCCTCAAAGGAGCGACCCTTAACGGAGAACCGCCAACCTCGCCGCCGCTCGAGGGAATATAAGAAGGAGGTCTCGGCAACTCCAGCCAACCCTCGGTTGTTAGAGAAGGAGGTGGAAACCCTGAAGGCAGCCGACCTCTGCTTTGTGTGCAAGAAGCCAGGACACCAAGCTCGCAAATGTCCTGATCGCAAGGTTATGGCCAGTCTCCTCGCCAGCTTCGATCATGAAGGAAGCTCTGACCTTGACGGGACCGCTGTTGCCGACACTTCGTCGGAATCTTCAGGATCGTTAGAGTCGGAAAACTAGTTCGGCTATCGGAAGTCTCCTCGATAGCCCATATACCACAATTAGCTAAAGTCGGCAGATCACCAAAATCAAATACATTCACCAAACGGGTCAACCTGTTAGTCGATGGCATTGGTCTTAAGACTCACGCTCTTTGTGATACTGGAGCCGATATTTCCCTTTCTATGACCCCGAAGATGGCCAAGAAGCTCGTTGATAAGGTCGGGGCAAAGATGGAACTCTTGCCTAAACCGCTAGTACTTAGTGATTTCAACGGGGCCGCCGCCGCTCGCGCCACCCATCAAGTTCGGGTCACTCTCGAGATCGACGGCAGACGTTTCCCCCGTCAGAAGTTCATTATCATCCCGACCGCCAATGATGTCTTTATAGGACAGGATTGGTTTACCAAGCAGAACGTATGGCTGCACCCCGCCTCGCGTACTCTTCGCTGGCCCGACGATACTCCTGCCCTAGCACAATACTCGCCCAGCATCCTTGTCGATCCGAGCACTAGCACTATTGATATGAATGCCCAGTCAGAGGTAGTCCGCCGAGATCGACTAATGGAGGCCGAGGAACGCAAGCTGAAAGTGCAAAAGATTCTGCAAAATCCCTGGCGCAGGACAAACACACAGACAGTGGTAGCCGCTGCGATTCCAGCGGTCGCAACGGAACAGAAGCACAGCCCCGAGATGATTGCTTGCCTCCGCGCAATTGAGACTGACCCTCGCCAAGAGAGATGGAAAAAGCAGAAGATGCCCCAAACTGCCATACCATTAGATGGAGTCTCTAATCAGCCCACCATAAGCCTCAACGCTCTCACCGTCGACCCCAAGGCTTGGAACAAGACCTTCGACGGAAAGCATATCCCGTTCCCGGCAGGAGAGGATTCCGAGCATATTAATAAAGTGCGCGCCAAGCTACCACGCGAGTTGGCTCACCTGGAAGGATTCTTCTCGAAGAAAGCCTCAACGCAACTGCCTCCCAGCCGCCCTGGCTTTGATGTGGTTCTTGAGCTCAGTAAGCCGCTAGAGGGAAGACCGTCCCGCTACCCTACGCCCTTCGCTTTCTTGGGACTCGAAAAAGAGACCACCGACGAACTACTAAAGATCGGGTTCATTGAACGGTGCATGACCGATAAACCTGCTCCCACCTTGTTCGTGCCTAAACCCCATTCAGAAGAGCACCGTTTCTGCGTGGATTACCGCTGGGTCAACGACTTCATTAAGGGTCGACAAGTGTTAGCCCCCGACGTACAAGGCACCATCAGCCGCTGTGGGCGAGCCAAGCACCTGACCAAAATCGACATCATCCGTGCCTTTAATCGATTGCTGATGGACCCCGGTTCAAGGTACCTTACCGCCTTTACCACTCGCCAAGGCACCTTCCAATGGAAAGTCCTGCCCTTCGGGCTGAAAGTCGGGCCAGCTTGGTTCCAAGCCTTTATCAATGCACAACTCAACGAGTTACTGGACCTCTTTGCTAGTGCCTATGCTGATGACGTTCTGGCCTATTCAGAGGGCGATGATGAGGAACACTTCGAACACGTTGAGGAGATCATCTATCGACTTCACAAGGCCGGACTCCAAGGCGATATCAAGAAGTCCTCTTTCAACGTGACCGAAGTCGACTACCTGGGCATGATTCTGGAGACCGGAAAAGGAGTGCGAGTGGACCCTGCCAAAGTAGCCGCCATCCTGGATTGGGATTGGGACGACTTGACGTCGAAGTCATCTGTTCGATCATTCCTAGGCCTCTGCAACTTCATTCGGATCTTCTGTTACCACGCCAGCCAAGTTGCCGAACCACTCACCAGGCTGTTGAAGAAGGACGTTGCTTTCGAGAAGGGACCCGAGCAAAAAGCCGCCTTCGACGCACTCAAGAAGCTTGCTACCGAGGCCCCAGTTTTGGCATTCTACAAGCCAGGTTTCCCAGTGAAAGTCGACACCGATGCTTCCAACAACGCCACGGGCGGTGTGATCTGGCAGCAGCAAGAAGACGGAGAATGGAA